ATGTTGGAGAACAGGATCTAAGTCAACATGAAGACTCTGGTTACCTGAAAGGTGATGCCTTTTGCAAAGGGGAGCAAATGAAAGAAGACAGAGAGAGGTGACCCTGATCCTAGTAGCTAAGGAATATTTATGCGAATCTAATCTGCCAGGATGAGCAAGTTTGTGGAGCAGAAGTATTTCTAGAATCATATTTTCAAGATATGTAAAGAAATCTGCTTATGTGAAGATATATATATATATATAATGTTTTATATATGTGTGTTGAAAAATAGCTATTCTTATTTTTAGAGCTGTTCTTTTAAAGTCAGCTAATTGAATCAAGCATAGATAACCCAACTATTTAATTTAGACAATTGCCAGTTGATTCACAGGCATCCTGTATACCATGACAGGCAGGAAGACACCATTAAGGAAGGCATGGAGGCTTCCCTTTCTTTTTTTTTTTTAATGTTTATTTATTTATGATAGTCACACACAGAGAGAGAGAGACAGAGACATAGTCAGAGGGAGAAGCAGGCTCCATGCATCGGGAGCCTGACGTGGGATTCGATCCCCGGTCTCCAGGATTGTGCCCTGGGCCAAAGGCAGGCGCCAAACGGCTGCGCCACCCAGGGATCCCAAGGCTTCCCTTTCAATAGGCACAACTGCGATCTAGGCAGCTCTTACAAAAGCTGGAAGCTTGGAAAGACAATTCCCAATAGGTGCCTGATAGTGGACTCTGGATTTCACAGCCACCTTATCCGTGAAGAAAAGCGGGGGCAGGGGGAAGAGTTCTCCAACTTAAGCAGACTGTATAAGTATTAGGAGAGGACTTCAATAAGACCTTTGGCCATGAAGGGCTTTAAGCTTGTGACCACACCTCAACAAACCATTTCCTTCATGGCCCCCTCCAGAACTAGCTTGACTGTGATTTCTCCATGTTCTTAACACCCTCCCAAAATACCATCACCACCATCACCCTTCAGCTAAAAATCCAAGATATCAGCAACTGCCCTGTCCAGCAATCATCCCATCTGTTCAGAACAAGCATTCAATTTCCTTCATTCAACTAATGATCATTGGACACCCTTAATGTGCTGACACCTGTGGAAATCAAGGGATTGAAAGGGAAATGAAACCCTCCTCCCTGACCTCCAGGGGCTCACTCTTTAGTGGTGGCAAAGAAAAACTGGCTGGGCCCCAGAACACGTTTGTTTCTTAGAGATTGCCCCAGTAGTGTTCCATAAAGCACTGATGCAGGCACCAAGGCCAGAAGTGTCTGAAACATGGGCAGTTGAGAGAGATACTTTCCTCTGCTTCCATGACACCACTAGAGGGGGTTGCTTTGGGTGTATCTCATGTGGGTCTGATTGAGGAGCTGGTCTCCAGAATCAGTCCCTGTGCCTGCCGCTAGCATGAATTCCCTGACCAAGCTGAAGCTCTTCAGGATGGACAACACCCTATCCCAGTGCTTCATGTAGCCACGAATTACCTTGCTTTATAAATTGACCCTCACGGCCATTTCCCCAGGCACACGCCTGCCCAAAGGAGGACAACTAGATGCAAATTTCATGCCTAATAGACTCGAACAACTATTCTCCTTCAATACTGTCTTGATTTTTGAATCAGTCCACTGGCTCTATCTCTTTCCCTTCTCTTGGTGATTTTATTCATTCAAAAAGGATTTGTATTAGGAGGCAACATAGTGTCATTGTTAAGGGCAAGGACTCTAGGGTTTCAGTCCCTGCTCTACATTTACTAATTGTATGGCCTTAGGAAAGTTAAATATCTTCTCTGTTTCCTCATCATTATGAGGCTAATAACAATATCTATCTCCTAAGGATACTAATGAAATCTATCTAATAAAGTAGTGAAGATTAAATTAATATGTATGTCAAGGACTTAGAATGGTGCCCAGAACACAGGGAGCACAGTATAAGTGCTAGCTAGTATTGACTATCACCTATGTGCCAGGTGATAATCCCAGCTCTTACATAAACATCTTTAATCCTCATAATAACCCGATGAAGTTGGTACATTCTACAAATGAGAAGTAACAAAAGTTTTAAGTAAAATAGAAGTAAAGTAACTTGCCAAAGGCTCTGAGGGTACAGCAGTGAACAAAATAGTCAACGTCCCCATTGTCATGAAACTTTAAACAAATAAAATAATTCCATCATGATTAATGCCAGGAATAAGACAGTAAATAAAACAAAATGAAGTGGTATGATAAAGTTGCGGTATACTTTTGTGAGGAGTGATGTCCAGGGATGCCCTTCTCTGTCACTGGCTTGTGTCCAAAGCCACCCTGGTTTACCTCAACACAGCTCAATAACTCTGAATCTTGCAAGTGAGTCTATTGGAGTCACATTTCCTAGTTTAACTAGGTTTCCAAACTCCTTATGCACATTTGCCTACTGCTTGTCTGGTTTATTTTTCAGTAAAACTATGTTTATTTCACAGAAACATGTGGCAATCTACTCCCACAACTAACCGGGAAATTACAGTATAACACAGTAGGTTCTATGGCAAAGGAAAACAAAGGGGGGTATGGTTCCCCAGAGGAGGTACCTAACTCAGTTTGGGAACCAAGAGTAGAAAGAACAACATATTCAGAGGCTCAAATCTAAAGTGTGCCCCAGTCCTCCTCTTAAACCAAGGAGAGGTTGCCCCTCACTTTATTGGCAGCCCTCACTCTATGAACTACTACCATTTGAAAATAGTATTTATTCTCTGTGTGAAGGTGAAGGTAGAAGGCACCTCCAGGGGACTCTTGGGCAGTAGGACCCATGAGCAGGCCCAGATTTTCTGTTGGGATCTCTGGGATGACCTGGACTGTCCATACCTTCTAGCAGGACACGGGGATAGAGAAGAACCATATCCTCAGGATTGCTGCTAGCTCACGCAGCACCTGTATTAGTATCCAAAGGATGCTTCACAAAGTGCCACAAACTGGGGGGCTTAAAACAATAGAAATGTATTCTCTTACAGCTTTGGAAGCTGGAAATCCAAAGTCAAGGTGTTAGGAGGGTTGGTTTCTTCTGAAGGCTTTGAGGCAGACTCTGTTGTGCACCTGTCTCCCAGCTTCTGGTGGTTGCCAGAAATCTTTCGCCTTCCTTGGTGTGTAGCTGCATCACTCCAATCTCTACCTGCGTCATCACATAGCCTTCCTCCTTGTGTCTCCTCTGTGTCTCTGTGTCCAAATTTCCCTCTCCTTTCCCTTATAAAGCTATCAGTCATTGGTTTTAGTGCTGACCCCAAACCAGTATAAGTTAATCTTAACTTGATTAAATCTGCAAAGACTATTTCCAAATAAAGTCGCATACTGAAGTACCAGGGATTAGAACTCACATATGCCTTCTGGAGGACACGGTTCAACCCACTGCAGCACCTTTTGCAAACTGGAGAGATAGGTGGCCCCTCTGGATGGCTTGGTGAGCAGATGACACTTTTGTGTGAATTACACAAAAGAATCCTTCCTCCCAGCAGAGGCAACTCCACACCAGGGCACAAGGCCCTGCACTTAGAGCCAAGGCTGTATTTCAATCCCTCGGCGGGTGCACACTCAATCCAGCCATATACACCGACCCTGGCCGCTCCGTACTCTGCTGACTGCCTCAGGTCTGCCCCCCCCATCCCTGCCCACTTTATGTCTTCCATTCCCACATCCTAAGGGCAAAAGCCATTTTTGTTCTCTTCTGTCCAGTTTTTTTTTTCTGTCCAGTTTTTAAATGTCTTTTGTGCAATGATCTGATTCTGTATCTCCTGTGAATAGCTGATATTTTTGCCTAGGCAGCATCCATTCTTTTCTTCTCTGGAAAAAGCACCCTCATTTTTTTTTTTCGAGCAACCACTTCTCTCCCACTTTCAGTTCATCTGGTTTGAGAAGTTCTGACCCCAGCCTCCCACTCCTGAGATGGGAGTTGGACAAGATCTAGGCTTAGCCAATCAACACCTCACCTCCTAGCATAATTGATCTCAGAATAGGTACATGATCCAGGACTTTTGCCAAAACAATTAAAGCAAAGACTGTTTAGATGGCTATATTGGTAGGGTAAGCCTGGAGTGTACTTAGAATGAAGCCAACCCGGAGAATACTGATAACATAATTTAATCACCTAGTTCCAGATGGGCCTGAAACTAAATATATCACTGGACTTTATGATAACATGAGCTAACAAATTCCCCTGTCACCACGACCTCTTTCTTTTCTTGTGATTATTTAAAGTGGGGCTATGTCATGCACATTAAGGAGCACTTGATGTGAGGAGCACTGGGGGCTACACCATATGGTGGCAAATTGAATTTAAATTTTAAAGAAGTAGGGATAGGTCACTTAAAATCAAAAGAATCTTGACTGATACAGAATCTGACACTTCCGTCACCCCTGCTCTGCATTTCCACAGCCCTTCATCCTCTCTGGCCCACCAGGCTCTCCATGCCTGAGTCCTGATGGACGAGAAGGAGTTAAGCAGGCTGAAAAAGGGGAAGGGCTCCCTACCACACTGTAGTGGGAATGGGCGAAGAACTAGACTGAATTTGCTGCCTTCTTAGACTTGTTATAGTTTTGGGGCATTGGCAGGTGGGGAATGGGTTCTGCTACTTTCCAGAGCCATCAATTGTGTCTCCATTTTGTTTCATTCTCTTGTGGGCTCATTGCTGTCTCTCCAGCTCAGCAGCCTGGCTTCCACATGCTGTCCAGCAGTATAGCCTAGCCCTCTGTTGGGGTACACTCTGCTCCCCAAGACACAAGGTCTCCAGAAGTACAAGTTGATTGGCTGTCCCTGGCCTCTGGCAGTGCCAGTCCTTCCTCCTCCTTGAAGCCTTTCCGAGAGTTATACTCATCCCGATTTCCCCCTATCTTGAGTCAGTCATGAACTTGCCTTGCCCATCATGAACTTGAATACTGCCTTGTATTGTGGCTTTCGTTGCAGTTCCTTCCTAAGATCTCAGAAGTCTACCCCCAAAGTTGTTAGCACATGCCCAGGGAAGAGTCTCTCCATACATGAGGTACAGTTCAATTGAACTTTAATGCACATGCCATCATTGCTATTACAATAAGGATAGGAGATACATGAAGCTAAGCCAGTCTGAATCAATAAAACATATCAACACAGAAGAGGCAGACACCACAGATATTTGCAAATGGGATCTTCCCTCTTGTTACTGTGCAAACGTGTGTATGTGTATCTTTGCATTTGTACAAGCTCACAATACCACATAACATTTCATATATCACTTCGAATAGCTGTCAGGACACAGAATATAGGGAGAATAAAAAAGCATGAAAACATCTGCTTAGCTAGAACCTTATGGGGAGAGATAGGAGCGTTATTATTCCCTTTTCTGCTCAGTCCTCTAGAGGGAGAACTCCAAATTTGCTAATTGCTCCTCCTGAGGACTTCTGTTCAGCCTAGGCTGGCATGAGACCAGCCCAGTCCCTGGTTGAATAAATTAGAAAGAGCAACTGGAGGAGTTGAAAAGTGGTGTGCAAATTGAGTAAGGTGACATTTCTCTGTGTGACTGCCGAGACCATCAGCCTCTGGCCCATGATATGAGGAAACCTCTGTTCTAAGGTTTAACTGTATTAAGGGGGTGTGTGTGTGTGTGTGTGTGTGTGTGCTTCTCCTTTCTTCTCTCCCACAAGCAGAGAGGAAGCCAGATGTAGGCACAACTGATGTCTAGGTTTCCTCTTCAGCTACCCCTAATCCCCTCAAATGGGCAGGGCTCAGGATCAGGACCTCTCACTCCTTGGGCAGACTCTCTTGTTCTAAGACCAACCAACCACTTGCTGCCTTCATTTTGTAGTCTTGAGTAGGTTGCTTCAGGTGCAGGCCTCAGTTTTCCTTATCTGAGTACTGGGAATGATAAACCCACACCACAGGGTTGTGTCAAAAACCATGAAGCGGGGGGTGGGGGTGAATGGGTGACGGGCACGGAGGGGGACACTTGACGGGATGAGCACTGGGTGTTATTCTGTATGTTGGTAAATTGAACACCAATAAAAATTAATTTATTAAAAAAAAAAAACCATGAAGCTTCACTGAGAAAGTAGTTTGGGAACTGCAAAGTGCCAAACACACAATTGATGATTTTTGTTATAATATACTAGTCACTGTACAAGTGGACCCTACTGCCTGCCTCTCCTGAGCCCCAACCCCATCCACAGCTCACCGCTCTGTTCAGCATGCAGTGGTTGATTCTCTTTGGCTGATCTTAGCTTCTGGAAGTTTCTCTGTAGCCAACCAAACTTCTGGGTATAAGGCATGTTGGCCTGACATTTCTCTGTGAGGTTAGGTTCCTGGGACCAAAATGTGGGGTAAGAGGGGAAAGCTGGTAGAGGTGGAAGGGACCCTTGGAATGACTCTGGAGGGTGTGCTTTCATTCTGGAATGAACACTGCCTACTCCCAGCCCCTCATGCTGGCTCCATTTTATAGTCCACAACATTTCATAGTTTCTTTTATTTGATTCTCACAACTCTTTTGTAAAGTAGGCAAGATTATTAATCTCATTTTATAGATGAAAATATGTTTGTCTAAGGTTCACAGCAAGTACATTGTAGGACTCAAACCCAAGTCTTTTAGAACCCTGGTTTTCTGAGCACTGGGGTTTTGTTTTGTTTTGTAGTAAATGCTACCCCCAGTGTGGGGCTCAAACTCATGACCCAAGATCAAGTTTCACCAACTGAGCCAGCCAGGTACCTGTTGGTGGGGCATCTTTTGACAAAGGCTCCAGGACACTTTGCCTAATTGAGACCTTGTGTAGTACAATAGTCAACACATGTTCAGCACCTACTATGAATGCCAGGCTCTGCACTAAGGGCTTTACACTCATCCCCACATTTAATCCTCTCAACAACCTCTGGAGGCAGATATTATTCCAATTATATAGGAAGTAATTGAGGTATCATGAGTAACTTTCTCAAAGTCACACAACTGTTTTGTGATGAAGATCTAAGGACTGAACCCAGATCTCTTGGACTATAAACCTTATGCTCTTAACCACTCTACCACACTGCTTTCTCAGTCTTCATCCTATAACTTGATGTTTGGAGGGACTGGAAGACAGCTCAGCACAAATCTCTCAGCCCTTTAGTTTCCAGCCTTCCAGCTGAATGACAGAAATTGCCCTCAAAAAGATCTTACCCAGCTCAGCCTGATGCATGTCTGGTGCTAGATAAATTCATTTCCCCTTGAACTGGAATGCATTTCTGGCCCTTAAACATGGCTGCCTGGTGTTGCTTCTCACTTGCATATGTCTGTGTGCTATTCTCAACAAGCCTCATCAGAGATTCTTGTTGTTAACCTTTAGGAACCTCTGGCCTACTACAGGCAGACATGGACCATCCAGAAGCACTTAATTGCTAAGGTGCTTTCTGGGAGCCTCAGAAACCAAGGCCACAAGCCTGGCTGATTGATGAGGGCAGGGCATCCACACAGCCTTGGCTGTTTTCATCCTACCCAAGAAGAAAGAAGGCTTTCACAATGAAAGGATTCCTGCCAAAATCCTGTTTGCCACTTGCAGCTCTGACAGAAAATGGGCATAAAATCACAGAGTATCAGCTCCAAGAGGGCCTACAGAAATTATCTAGTCTAAACTCATGAAGCCCAGAAACAGGGAGTGACTTAATCAAGGTCACACAGCCTATTAGCTTTATCCCAGTCCATTGGTAAAACTCAGGAAGAAATGCATCAGAATCTGAAGGGAGCTGGGAATCCTAGTCACACCCCTCAGGGACTTGCTGATTTACTGTGCCAGACGTTAGTATTTCTATGACATGATTTTGTAGCAAGCAAAGGAAACTCTATTCAAGTCTCCCAGAGACTTTCTGTTTGGGTATTTGCTGTTTGGCCACTTCAAAATTATAGAAGAGAAGCTGACAAAACAGATGTCACACAACTCAGTCTAGTCAATTGTATTATCAAGATGGTGGGTGTCACCAAGTTGCTAGACATAGAACAGATGTGGAGAAAGAGCAGCAGTGATGTTAGCTATTTTGTCTAGTGTTTGAATCCCTGGGAAGCTAGTCTCTGTGTGGACCAGTAACCTAATCATTCTTTGTCTGTGCTGTCATCAGTGTTTGTGGAGAACTACTTTTCACCTTGAGAAATCCCTTTTCCTCCTTAATTCAGGTACATGAAGAGAAAATGGTGAAGAGAGTGGGGTTTGTTCCAGATTATACAATGTCTTCATCAGAAAGTCCACAGAAGTGGAATTTTTCTGAAAGACTCAGTGTTTAGAAATTAGAATTACTGCACTTTGGAGCTGGGAGGATGTATAAAGGAGAAAACTGAAAACCAAAGAGGGGACAATATATTTTTGGTTATTAAGTGTTAAGAACTTAACTCCAATGAGCAAAACTAAATGAGGACTTTACTGGAAACATATACTGAGGTGTGTAATAGAATCAAAGGAAGATGTGATTCCACATCTTCCTCAAGAGGCTGGAATCACAGCTGAGAAAGCCACAGAACACACTTTCTCATCTTATTCCTATGCCTCTGTCTGCATGATAGCCTTGTTTTCCCCTACCATAGATCAGCATTCTACACATTGTGAGGATAGGTCATCACAGTTTTAGAGCATGCATCCTCACAATATCTGCCACTTAGAAGGGAAGAAAATAGCTCCAATTTTTTCTTTTTAAATCCTAGGGAAGAATTCTGATTGGCCTTGGTTGGTCACATACTCACTTTATTGACAGTCTTCACTAGAATCACCTGGTTTGGATGAAGGTATAGCAGTACTACAAAAGAAAAGATTACTATTTCCAGAAGAAATTCTGGGGAGAAGTGATAGCTGGCTATTACAAGAAATTATTTACCAGGGGTCCTATAGTAAGTTAGGGGCAGATTCAGGGCTAGAAAGATAATTGATGAAATAACTTTTATTAGTAATAATTGAAGTCTCTGGATTCTTTTCATGTGTGGTATTAAAGTAAACCCCAGTGTTACTGAATTGTTCATTTATTTATATTTTTAAAATATTTGTGTTGTGTGGAGGATGGACTGTAAGAGAGCAAGTGTGCACTAGGGAAACTGGTTAGGAACTCTATGGTAGCTCTCCAGAAGAGAAAAAAGTGGCTTGAACCAAGATCATGGCAATGGCAATGGAGAAAAGTAGGCAGACTTGAAATACATTTTAAAAGTAGAGTCACAGGACTTGTTGCTGGATGTGGACAGCAAAAAAAAAAAAAAAAAAAAAAAAAAAGGAAGGAATTAAGAATAATATCGAGGTTTCTGTGAAGACTGGGGTTGAAATAAATTTGGGGCAGAATTAAGAGTCCCAAGGTGGAGATGTTAAATTTGAGACATGGAAATGTCTACTGGGCCCTGTGTATACATGTCACTACCAAAGACTTGGCATCTAAAGCCACAGGACTAGATTAGGTTGGGAGCAGAGGGCCCAAGTGTTTTTTTGTTTTGTTTTTTAGATTTTATTTTTAAGTAATCTCTACATCCAACGTGGGGCTCAAACTTACAACTCCAAGATCAAGAGTCACATGCTTTACTGACTGAGCCAGCCAGGTGCCCCTCAACTATTCTTTGAGTCATCTTTTCTGCATACACTGAATCCTTCTGCTGGGCTTCCCACCAGGAATCTCAGGTGAGAATCACAACCATTATTACAGTTAATTCCATAGAATGAGATTCCAGATTCATCCCTCAGGGAGTAGCTAAGAAATGAATGGTGAAATATGCATCAAAACTCCATAGAGAAGTTTCTTTCATTCTTTGGACAACTAAACAAATGATGTGACTGCCCTGATGTAAACTATTTTGATGTTTCTCTTTGGGGATAATAGATTTTAAGACCCAGGGAAATTTATCAGACTTGGTTTCAGATAACTTATCATTGCTTCCTTTGGTGGGTTGAAAAAATGGCCACAATACTTTACAGCTCCTCCATCAAGGGACAGCATCTATTTCTCCACCCCTTGTATGTGACTTGCATTAGTCAGTGGGACATTAGCAAACATGATACAGAGGCTTGAGAAGTATCTGCATTGGAGCTTGCCCTCTCTTACTGCTGGAAAAACTTCTAACACCATGTGAACGAGTCTGGGCAGCCTTCTGGAAGATGGAAACACATGGAGGGGCACCTCAAGCACCCTAGTCATTTCAGCTGGGACTCCAAGCATGTGAATGAAGTCACTCTAGACCACCCAGCCTGAGCCAGAAGAATCACTCAGCCAACCCACCAATTTATGAGAAATAATAAATGTTTGTTGTTTCAAGTCACTAAGTTTTGTGGTCATTTGTTATGTCCCTTGGAAGACAGTAATTAACTATGAACCAGGCAGTCTAAAGATATTTCACAGGTACAAATGTTCTTTCTGTCACTCTTACTCTTTTTGGAGGATCTGTGTTTGATTAGTCATCAAAGGTTTGAACTAAAAAACGAAAGCTTGAGGAATATAAAGCAATGGCCAGTGGATAGCAGAAGTATTTGGGGCCAGTGGAGTCTTCCTAGGACTCTTGAAACAGCTCCACAAATATGATTTAGTTTTCCCAGTTGTGTTCTCACAGAATGATGTACCTTTACTTCAGAGCACTTTTTAACTGTATTTGGGTATTTTACAATGTCTAGACTACACCACAAGCTACTAGACTACAAGCCTCATGAAGGAAAGGCTTGTGTTTAATGTGCCATTGATTGTATCCTGACACATACTAGACACTTATTAAATGAGTAAATACAAATGAATAAATCTTCATATAAGGGATAAAGACCTTAAAAAACATCGCTTAACAGTATTCATATCTCAGGGGCCTGTCTCGGGTGCAATTCCAGGGATAGGCTGATCCTCCAACTGAGAAAGGTAATCAGGGGTAACAGTAGAGATGCAGAATCTGAAATCAGTGAGATCCCAGGACACTGGTTACTATAATTCCTTCTCATTACCCCAAACTATTGGCAAACAAACTCAAATAAACATTCCTCAAGACACTCTAGGAATCTTGACACCCAAGCAAAGAGCCCTGGAGCAGGAGCAGGTGATGTGAACTTGAAAGTCAGGTCTGGGAGATATTCATATCATTCTGTGGAGATTACAAGGCTGTGGTCACAAAGTAATTGTGAGACCAAAGGACTCTCACTACCACTGCTCCATATACTCTTCATCTGAGAGACAATCTGAAGAGAGAAATTGAATGAGCATGCTTCAGAAGTGAATTCAAATGATATTACTGAGTGACTTGAACACGTTAACTTTTCCAAGGCTATGTTTCCTTGACTGCCAAAGACCCCCATGAGACTATAGGTACCTTGCAGGCAGGGATCATTTGTTTTCAGATATATGTATCTAGTGTTTAACAGATCCAGGTCACAGTAGATACAAAACAGATAAATTTCTACCTGGAGGTGATCCAAGACCGGGTCCTGACTCCATACTCTCAGAGTAGACCTTAGGAAATTTCCTTTTCCTCCCTGGACCTCAACCCTCCTCTTTGTAAAATGAGGATCCGGGACAAGATTTTCTCTAAGCTCCCTTAGAGCTTATATTTGACAAGTCTGTGGCCATTCAGTGCACCCAACCGCATTGCTGCTCCTAGCTGTTAATTAATGCTACAGACTGAGGAGACGGTAATAAGTCATAAATCACTCTGTATTTACAGATACATATGCATTTAAAACATTCTGTAAGTAGCTATAATACTGTATTGCACTTTTGGCCTACTTTTGCCTCTTTTGAGGTCAAGAGTTTTTGTTTCTGTTTTTAAATCTTTTATTTGGATTGTTAAGCAAGACGAAAACCAGGACGAGTTGCCTCTAACATACCACGCAGCTTGAACCTTGGTAGCTAATTGCACTATTATCGTGATTGAGGAACATTGCACTGTAATCAGCTGGAAGCTCCTGCCTTCCACGCTGCAAAAACAAGGTCACAGAGCAGGGCTGGGGAGCTGCCCTCTAGCCAGCAGCTCTGTTTGTTGCCCAGTAGAAGAGTTTGCCACTATTACATTTAACTCTTGATTCTGGACGTTGTGAAGAAAATTGCTCTCTTAAACTGGCTCCTGATTTTAAATAATTTAATAATTTTTAAGTAAAAATTTCAAACCTTACCTAGATATCCAATATGAAAGAAAAAATTAATGGATATATGTACTAAAATATCCAAGGGTCACGAGGAGCTCAGTCTGAAATCCTAGTACTAGGGTGGATGGGTGTTACTGCCCAGAAAAACAGTAATTATGCCTGACCTGTATTGATTTGACAGTGTAAAAAAGCACACCTAGAGCCACTGCCTATAAAGAGGTCACATTCTTCTGTGGTCAAAGAAGTTAGCCAAGTCACTCCTGCAAAATGTCCCATTGCTGAAGTAGGGAGGCTGCTTAAAGTCCTGCTTGACAGCTACATAAGATTTGCCTGACAAAGGCAGATACTGCGACTTGGGCCTGAGAAACACTGGACAATTTTTGCTCAGGCTCTTGGAACCTGGTTGCCTCAGAGACTGACTCCTTCAGAAGCATTAGACATCCATCACTTTGGATTAGTCTGAATCGTTGAGAGATTTGCTAACAGAGAAGAGACATAAGTCTTTTCTCCAGTGGACTTAGAACCTGATGGCCTTAGGATTGAGTCCTAATATGAGTCTAATACTCGCTAGCTGTACCATGTCTCTTAACCTTTTTGGGTCACAGTTTAATCTATTAAAAATGTAGTACAGAATGTGGTGGAGAGCACAGACCTTGGAGCCTACTGCCTGAGTTTGAACCCCAGTTCTACTATTTATTCATTATGTGGGGTTAGGCAAGCTAGAGAATCTTTTTTTTTACCTTATCTTCCTCGTTAAATGAGGTTAAATCGTTAAATGAGGTTGATTGTAGTGCCTCCTTCACAAAGTTGATGAAAAGATAAATAAGTTAATACATGTAAAGTGCTTGGAACAATGCTAAGTACAGAGTACGCATGGCACCGGGGTTAGCTACAACAACATTGGGGTGATAATCCTCATCTCTAAGGTTTATTTTTCAGATCAACTGAAATGATGAAGATGAAAAAAAGAGTCACAGAGTTATTAAGACTAGAAGGGACCTTAAAGATTACCCAAATAACCCCCTCATCTTATAGGCAGGAAATCAAGACTGGTCCAGAGTCATGCTTGATTTAAGGGCAGAGTCCAGGACTCCTGATTTCAAGTCTAAAGCTCTAACCTCCGCATGGCATTGAAGAAAGCAACACTTCCATGGAGCTGACTCTGGAGGGTCCTTTCATGTCGTCAGTGGACCTATGCCAGTTAATGCACTTTCCTAGGAAAATGAGCTGCATTTGAAATGGACAAGAAGCTTGGAGGAGACTCCCCCTCCCCCACCAAAACTTCTAACGTGGTGTGTTAGTGCAGCGGGAACTGGAGATTTGGACCAAGCCTGGGAGGAAAGATTTTCAGGAATCATTGCTAGTTCCATGTCATTATTTCAGCTAAAAACCAAACACATACCAGGTCTTAAGAAGCTAGAATCCATTCAGTTTGTTTCTGGTGTCAGAGGGTTTTTCGTGGTTGTGATTTTGGTTTGTTTTCTCCTTCAGGTGTTTAATTAAGCAGTTTTCACTAGGAGTGGCTTCACATCCACTCTTCAGTAGAAACTAAGATTTCACTCCCAGGAGAATGAGTTTGAGATTGAAACCTCTGAGTTCAATTCCCCTAATTTTGTTAGGGTCATGCCCTCTTAGATTTATTCTGCTTTGAATCACCTTCCCAGTTGGACTACTCAGGAGTAACTGAAAGATGGGTTGGAAGAAAGGGCAAGATGAGGGGAAGATACTATCAAGAATGGCAGAGCTACTTAACTCAGAGAAAGGGCGGAGGTCGTGATTTCTGTTCTCAAACCAGCCAAGGGTCTCAAGGGTCAGAGGGAACATAGATTGTGAGGTCTCTGGCAGCAGAGCTGGGACAAATGGGGTGAGAAGAGGAAGAAGAATTTCCAAGGGAGAGATTTCAGCTTAAAGCAAGGAAAACTTTCTGATATTGAGAGCAGCCCAAAGGTGGTGTAGACAATAAGCTCCCATCCCTGCCTAGAAGGTATGTTTTAGAAGAAAGATATCTGGGGGGCCCCTGGGTTGGTTCAGTCCATTAAGCAACTCAGCGTCGTGGATAGAGCCCCAAGTTGGGCTCCATGCTTAGCAGGAAGTCTGCTGGAGACACACACACTCTCTCTCTGTCTCTCTGTCTCCCCACCCCGCACCCTGCCACCGCTCACTCTTTCTCTAAATAAATAAATAAATAAATAAATAAATAAATAAATAAATAAATAAATAAATAAAATCTTAAAAGAAGAAGAAGAAGAAGAAAGAGATTTGGTTGTGAGCCCTGGCAGCCAGTTATCGGAGATGTGAAGATGGAAATGGACTAGTCAGACTAGGCAACTCTAAATGTTTCCAATTCTGGGAGTCTGAAAAACAAAGGCTAATTTCATGGAATTTTCACAGTTAAAACCAGCTGGAAAGCAGCAAAATCAGGAAGTCATGACCCGTTCCTTTATCTTGCCTGTGTTTCTCTTTTCTTTCTCTTCATCTTTCTTGAGCTTACTCTCCTGCTCTTTTATATAGCAGGAACCTTTGACATTTTGCAAGGAATAATCTTTTCTTTTAAGTGTATTTCTGACTCAGCCTTTGCTCCTTCAGCATCATTAGAGAGTCTGAGCTCTCTGGAGATTAGCTCTGGCCTGTCACCACAGCAACTGCCCAGGCCCTGTGGGCAGCCGTAGTAATGGGCAGAGGGCTTTGAGAGTCAAAGCTTGGCTTGCAGTGAGAGGAAGCCCCACAGGGAGGCTGATATGAAGCAACTATGTTGTGTTATGAGGACGTTTTCTTAATAGGATTAGCTGTACCAGTGGGCCTTACTTTCCCAGGTGGCCAGGCCCTGAAAAGTGTCCTTTGTCAAATTTTGGTAAATGGAGGAAATCTTATTTTAAAGGCAGAAAAGAAACTCCCTTTCCTAGTCCCTGAAACGAATCGCCTCAGTAAAAATGGAGTCTTCTTCTGTAAAGTGGATCTCTACCCACGTGTGACCTGGCGGTCAGTCTAGAGCTGGGTATCTGTAAGGGGGGCCACCCGCAGAGACCTCAAGGGGGAGACTTCCACTCCGCTGCAGGCAAGAACAACAGCAACTCGGCTTGCTTGGGGCTCGGGGTGGACGGAGCATAACGGGCGAAGCAGGGGGGCTATGGGGCCACAAGAAGGGGAGATCGGGAAGGTGGGCCTTGCCTAACATGAGCAGTTCTGCTGCAGCAGCGGTGGGGTGTCTGAGAGACGGGTGTTCTTGGAGGTGCCCAACGTGGAGGGGTCTGTGTCCAGCGAATCAGACATTTTGTCACAAATGGCATCTACCAGGCGCTCGAAGGCCTGCCTCACGCTGATGTTCTCCTTGGCGCTGGCTTCAAAGAAGTCAAACCCTAAGGAGAGAAGAGAGATAATGGTAAGGATTTTTCCCTTCCTTTTTATGCCCTCTGGCCAGAATACTCTAGATTAATACAGCCAGTGCAAGAGTGAAGCAAGGAGACCTAATTCCATGGCAGAGGAGTCTGCTTTAAAGAGATGCTATAGGGGCACCTGGGCGGCTCAGCCAGGTGAGTGTCTGCCTTCAGCTCAGGTCAGGTTCCAGGGGGCTGGGACCAAACCCCCTGTCAGGCTCCCTGCTCAGCAGGGGGTCTGCTTCTCCCTCTCCCTCTCCCCTTCTCCCCGTTCATGCTCGCTCTCTCTCTCTCGCCCTCTTTTAAATTAATAAAACCTTAAAAATTAAAATAAAATAAGAAAGAAAGAGAAAGAAGAAAGAAAGAAGAAAAAGAAAGAAAGAAAGAAAGAAAGAAAGAAAGAAAGAAAGAAAGAAAGAAAGAAAGAAAGAAAGAGCAAGGAAGGCGCAGGGCAGGGATTACTGCACCAGCTGTAGTCAGATCCCGGCCCTACCTTCGGCGGCTACGTTACCCCAACGAGTCACCTAATTCTCTTTATGAATCAATGTCCTAGTTTACCTCCCTCATTAAACGAGATAACACAGGTAAGGTATACAGTGCTGTGCCTGACGCAGAGTGGGGTCATTATATGTTTCCTGCAAGAATGAATTCTTCCAAATGTGTACACAGCACCTCACAGTTTTCCACAGCCTTGATCACGTCCATTATTTCATCTGCTCCTTGCGTCACCCCTGGGAGAACAAATGTCTGGGCAGACCCTCTCCATTTCACTCCTGCAGACGCTGTGGCTTAAAGAAATAAGCCGACTTGCCCCAGATGCATAGAGAAGCCAGTCTGAGAAGTCCAGGCTTTGGCCTTTCTGACGGGATCTCCCTCCTCTTTGCCTTGCTTTCCCCTCGCCTCAGCCTGGCCAGCTCTAGTCTAAGGTCTGGGAGGCCCAAGATCCACAGTGGGCAAGCAGCTTCACTTGCCCTTTCCGCACTGGACACACTGGCTTATCTCCACTCCACGAGGTTCTTCCTCCTGGATTCCCCTGGAGTTCCCCCGTGGCTCCCCTCCCCACACGAACTCAGCAGAAGGCACGCGGAGGACTGCACCTGAGGCCTGAGATAGTCTTGTCTGTTTTGTACCTTGAGATCCTTAAGGACACTTGCTGTGACAATGAACAGAACGTGCTTGTCCTGGGAGACATAAGAAAGGTCTCCCGATTCAGACCAAGTGGCTGCTTTCTAACTGTGGAATTTTGGCCAGGCTGCTGGCAGTCCTTCCCTACAGGTCCCTGCCCCAGCCTCCTCCCTCCTCTTTTGTCCATCTTCCTTTCTCTTTTCTTTTCCTTCCAGGTCCATCTTTTTTTTTCTCCTCAAAAGCTTTTCTCTTCCCTTTTTTTGGTGTCACTCCTTCTTTTTCCTTTTTTTTAAAAATTTTTATTTATTTATGATAGTCACACACAGAGAGAGAGATGGGCAGAGACACAGGCAGAGGGAGAAGCAGGCTCCATGCACCGGGAGCCCGACATGGGATTCGATTCCAGGTCTCCAGGATCGCGCCCTGGGCCAAAGGCAGGTGCTAAACCACTGCGCCACCCAGGGATCCCCACTCCTTCTTTTTCCTTATGTTCCTCACACTTTCTCCTTGGGATTCTTTATATTTATTGAGCACCTACTAAATGTCAGACACTAGGCCAGGAGCTTTAGAAATACTATCTTACTTAATCCTCACACAGCCGGTGGGTAAATATAATCATGTTCAGTTTATAAATGAGAAAACGAAGCCTTCAAGGGATTACATAACTCACACAGGTCACATGGCTGTATTAATGGAAATTGAGTTTAGACCTGGGCTTGGCTGGCTCCAAAGTCCATACTCAGCGCCGTCTCCCACTTCTTCTCTTTCTCCCTTTCAATTTCCTTTCTTTCTACCTTTTAATTTCATTTCTTCCTTCCTTTTTTTGTTCCTCCTTCCTTTCCTCTCTCCCTTCCTTCTTTCTTTCCTTTCTTGACTATAACTTTCTCTTCTTTACAAGTGTCTTTGGCCCTCTCTGCTTTTATCTATCACAGTGTCTGAATCTGGGGGTCACTTTATGTCTCTGAATCACTTAGTCTCTGAGTCTCAGACTCCTTGGCTGTCAAATAGGGATAGCCACAGTGTCTTCCTGCTAAGAGCAGTGGGAGAATTGAGTGAGATGATGGATAATCTGCTGTACGAAGTTGCCTGCTAGAATGACAGTTGCTTTTTCTCTATATTTCATCTTGCTCCTCTCACCTTCTCTTCATCCTGTTCTCCTTCTCTTGTCATCTTTTCCTACAAAGGAGGGGCTCTCTTTCCTCCTCCCTCCTCCTTATTATCCCACTGTCCACAGAGAGGGCTAAAGCCCCCAAGTACAAACAAGGTTCTTCCTCCCTTGCCATCTCAGCTTGAAAGCACTCTCAGCTATTCCCAAGGCTCCTCTGGTTGACAGCCTCTCTGTGGCCCATTTCCTAACCCAAGAAAGGACAGCAGCAGAAGTGTGCCCCAACTGTGGACATGTGATAAAGAAGGAGGCAGCTGCTGGTTTATTATCTTCAGCCATAGAAACCCAGTCAGCTTCAGAGACCCTCCAGCATGTAGCTTTTCTTAATGACCATCATAAAAATTGATGCTCTGGTCAATTTGATAAGCAAGTCAAAGGCTGGCTTATCACAAATGACAATGTTTAGGGAGGTGGAGGAAGTGTGTTGCTTGCCTAGGAAAGGGACAAATAGGTAAAGACGTAAATAGGGTTTAACTATTGGTTTGGATGAAGATGAGGATACAAATCAAGGCCAGGGGCCCCTTCTAAGGAACTGGCACCAAGGGGTGGACATGTCATGTTGTACAGGTGGGCAGTGAGAAGATGCCCAGGAATCATGTAGCCTGGCTGTGTGACCTTAAGCAAGATGCCCAACCTCTCTCAGCCTCTGTTTCTTCATTTTTAGAATAGGGTGACTATTACCTACCTCATAGGGTGGTAATAAGAATTAAATGCACAGAAGTAAGTGAAATAATTGGCCTGTGGGATACATGTTAACTCCCTTTCCCTTCTATTCCTAGCCCACTGTAGTCCCAGCTTCCTTACACTCAGGGCCGTTAGGGAAAACTTTTTCCTCCTCACCAGGGTCAAACAATAAAATAGGTCTTTACTGAACATTGACTTTGTGCCAGGTCTTGTGTTGAGAACCAGGGACAAAGGGAGATCAAATCTAATTGTGGAAAAGACACACTAATCAGAGTTTCAATCTCTCATGTGTGCATAGTCTGTAACAGTTCACAAATACAATTTTATTTTATTTTTTTTCACAAATACAATTTTAAAACAACCTTGTGAGCCAGGTGGGGCAAAGCAGGAGTTATGACTTGTAATTTACAGATAGGAAAACCTAGAGCCAGAGATGGGCATAAGCCAGGGCTCTATCCCTTATGCCCCCTTGTCTCACTCTCAACTGGAACAGTGACGGAACACACTATAACATTCCTAACCCAGGTAGAGCAAACCAGAGGCTATGCAGGAATGCAGTGGAGAGAGAATGGCAGCGGGAAGACAGCAGGAGGAGGCTTCCAGAAGTTGGTGGAGAGGGGAGGCTTTAAGACTAGAATGGAGCGGGATCCCTGTTTGGCGCAGCGGTTTGGCGCCTGCCTTTGGCCCAGGGCGTGATCCTGGGGACCCGGGATCGAATCCCACGTCGGGCTCCCAGTGCATGGAGCCTGCTTCTCCCTCTGCCTGTGTCTCTGCCTCTCTCTCTGTGACTATCATAAATAAATAAAAATTAATAAAAAAAATTTAAAAGGGGATACTCCCTAACATTTTAAAAAAAAAGACTAGAATGGAGCATAACTCTTCACTTAACGTCTCATTCTTCAGGACTCAGCTTAAATAATAGCCTCTTCATTTTGCTCTGCGCTTCCTTCTGCTATAGCACATTGCCCTGCATGGTAGAGGGACATTTGACAAGGAGCTCCCTGAGCAGAGATCATGTCATTCATCTGGGTCCCAGCACTAGTCAGAGGAATAGGCACTTGGTGAGTGTTGGTTGATGAACAAATGAATGAAGGAGGTGGGGATGAGGATGGACAGTGTGCTTGAGAGGATGGGGATAGTGGGGGTCATGAGACCTCACCTTAACATGCATGAGGATACTGAGGTGAATCAGTAGTTCCTACCCTTGTGCAGCTCCTAGTCTAGTGTGGGAAACAGACACACTGACAATAGTACAGTGATAAATGCTGGAGTGGTGGGAAGCGAGGGGATTAGCAGGGCACAAGAGGAGGCACCTCACTGTCCTGGGGGCCAGGGAAGGCTTCTTGGAGAAGGTGATTCCTAAGCAGGTATCAGCTAGATAAAGATAGGTGACTGTGAGTTTATGTGTGAGCACATGCATGTGTAGCATACCAGGCAGGGGAAACAGCATGAGCACAGATAAAAGCCTTTGGTATGTGCCAGAATGATCGTAGCAGTTTGTTATCATTAGAGCAGAAAGCTCAGTGATGAGACAAGGCGTGATGAGTAAGTCTTGTGGAGACTCATGGAGAACTCTCCATGTCATGCCAAGGAGATGTTGCCACTGTCATCTCACAGGTACCCAAGGTATGGGAACCAGCTCTTGGCCTTAGACAGCTCATGGGCCTCTCTTCCTAGCAGAACTGCCCCAAATGAACATCCACCCAATTACTGTCAGACTTCTGGAAGCCTCCACATTAGCAGGCCCAGGTGGTAACCTTTTCCTCAGGTTCATTAGTAAGGATTCTCAGGAGTTGAGAACCTGGTGAGGTCAGGAAGATGACAACCAATTAATCAGACTCAATCCTTTCCTCCCTCTAATTGGCTTCAGAACAATATTTCTGCTCTTTATTTTAATAGGGTTCAACTCTTAGCTGAATCTGAGATAAGCCACACCACCCACCATGATCATGTTTACCTATCCTGTCCAAAGGCAGCTGCCAGACCCACAGATTCTACAGTTTGTCCA